CAGAGGTGACAGGGGGAGCATTATCACCTGAGCTGGCAATTAACCAGACTAACTTTTTCTGACGCAACTATTTGCGTAGATTACGATCCGGATGTTGCTTTGGCGTTTAGGGGGGCGTTTTCTAGATACAGGGGGTCAAAGCCCAAAAACACGCGATGTGACCTAATTTGACTGTATTTAATTATTGTACTTTAGGAAATGTTTAATTTTATTACAAATTGGTTTCTTGATCAATGCTCTGTCAAATTTAGCCTTTTCTGGCATTGATGGGGGGGGGGGGCGCAGGCAATTACAGGGAAGGGGAATTTTACTATTACTGTATTCTTAAAGCGTTTAGTTTAAATTCGCCTTCTCCTTCTGATTCGCTTTATTTTTCTTCGCTTGCAAACATTAGCTCCGCAATGTCCTCAGGATAGTATAGAAGGGCTCCGTGAACCAATCAATTAACAGATCTTCTAACCAGACGTGATTGGCTGGTTCTTCTTTGTTGATTATGCTTTGTAAAGCTTGTCTCTATCCCCTTGCTACAAAGTTTGCACGCTTTAAAGGTTTTTCGAGGCTGCTTTTGCATGGGGGCAGCATGCAGGCCAAGGAGCGCTTGCTTCCGCAAAAAAGATTGCGCAAAAGCATTAAGGCCCAGTAGTCTCCTGTATTTTCCTCTTCCATACTACATAAAGGAATGCAAGTTTTTAGCCTTGTTGGCTAAAAGGATAACAAAAATATCAACATCTCCAGAGTGCACAATGCAAACTGTCTCCTGTCCATTATTCATCCGATGGACATGGTGAAGTAGGTAGCAGATTTTGGTATATGCTTTCTCATGCTTTGTGTTTAACTTCCCCACCTGAGTTACCCCTTTTGCTCTCAATCTTAACACAATAATTTTTTCTTGCAAAGTATATTACTCGATCGTTGAGTTGAGACTACTTATTGTGGCGCTAGAAATTCTCTGACGGAGGGGCTTGACCTTTCGATAGGGGGCTATGCAATTGGAGAGAAAGCATGTAATCCCAATTGCAAAAAGACGCACAATCATTAAGATTATGACAGGACATGAATGTAACAGACAATTAATTCCATCGCGGGGGCCCCTTAGTTATGATAAACAACACCCTAATCTCAGGAAAAACATTTTGGGCTTTTGGTGCATCAGCCCTTGTCTTGCCTGAGCAATGACGCAATTTTATGATCGGTGTTTGATTCCAGGGAAAAAACTGCCTCAGTTTTTTACCCCGCCACAAAAAAAACATCACAATGTTTACACCCATCAAACACTGACTTTAGGAGAATCTTGTCCTAACATTACTAAGGGAGGAACCTGTAACTAAAGGAGACTCTTGCCCTAACCTTACTAAGGGAGGAAGTTATTGGTGAAGAGAAGCGGGGAGAGAAAGCAAGAGAAAATAAGTTTTTTTCATGTTTGCCAACAACAGCAAACGCTTTTTTGTTGTTGTATGTTTGCCAACGACAGCAAACGCTTTTCGTTGTTTGTTTGCCAACAACAGCAAACGCTTTTTTTTGTATGTTTGCCCACGACAGCAAACGCTTTTCGTTGTTTGTTTGCCAACAACAGCAAACGCTTTTTTGTTGTCTGTTTGCCCACGACAGCAAACGCTTTTCGTTGTTTGTTTGCCAACAACAGCAAACGCTTTTCTGCCACACGTTTGCCAACAACAGCAAACGCTTTTCTTTGCATGTTTGCCAACAACAGCAAACGCTTTTATTTTTTTTTTGAGTGTGCATGTTTGCCAACAACAGCAAACGCTTGTTTTTGTGTGTTTGCCAACCACAACAAACTCTTTTCTTCTGCCTGTTTGCCAACGACAGAAAACGTTCTGTTTTATTTTTCATGCTTGCCAATGACAGCAAACGTTCTTTTTTTTCATGCTTGCCAACGACAGAAAACGTTCTGTTTTATTTTACATGTTTGCCTTCAACTGCAAACGCTTAATATTTGTTTGTTTGTTTGTACTTATAAATTTGCATTCTGCCAACAACAGCAAATGTTTTCTTTTATTTACATGCTGCCCAACAACTGAAAACGCTCAATGGTTTTTCTTTTCTTTTATATATATATTTGCATGTTTGCCAAACAACAGCAAACGTTTTGTTTTGCATGCTTGCCAACAACAGTAAAAATTTTGTTTGTTTGTTTTTTGTTCACCTTGCATGTTTGCCACAAAGAGTAAAGGCATAACTAGACGTGTTATGGTGACAACAGCAGGCGCTTTTTTATGTATGTATACGTCTGTATAGCCCTGGCAAACTATCTCCATATTTTATTTGAATATATAAACCATAGCAAGAAAACATTTTGTATTTAGTATGTGAATTTCCATAAACGCAGCACACTATCTCCATATTTCATGTGAATTTATGAACCATGGCAAGGAAGATTTTGCATTTGCCATTTGAGTTTGCATAAACACAGCAAACTGCCACTATATTTACCATTGCAGTTTGCATGACAGAACAATTGACATGTTTGCATTTAGCAAGAAACATCACCACAGTAAGCTATCTAGGTATTTACCGATTTATATTGCAAACATTGGTTCTGCAGATTCAGCTTATATGTTTTACATTCTGCAGATTTGTTGCAAAGCCACAGTAAACTATTCTACATTTACCAAGTAAAGTGTGCCTAATGTTAGTAAATTCGTTGTAAAATGTAAAAGAGATTTGCATAACTACAGCAAACCAATTCTATATATACATATTGAGCAAGTTTAGTATTAACAATATAGCACGTTTTACATTAACTTAGAAGTTCGCTCTCGATAAAAAGGCTTGCCTAAAGTAGCAAAATACAGATTGCACGAACCAATCAAATTTGCACCAGAACAAAAGGGGGCACACAATGCATTCATAAATAGGCAATAACAACAAACATTTTATGCTTTTGCCAATCATGATTGGTGAAAACAGAGAGCAAAGTTGCCAGCACATTTTTTCTAAATTGTTTAGCTCTGCTGCTATACAAATTACATCAAAATACCTGTATTACAATAAGTTTTTGTTTTGTTTGTTTTTGTTTTTTTGTTTTTTTTGTTGAAAATATAGCGTGTAGTTAGTTGGAAGTTTGTTGCCATGGTGACTAGTGGCACTTATAATAATGTAATAAGATATCTTCTAAATGCAACAAAAGCTACTATTTCAGCATACGGAAAGCATACGGATTACAAAGCAAAGTGCAGAGAAATGTCCACGTGCTTCAGATCCACTCTAAGTGTTCCTGCACATTCTTGCAAAAATCCCTAAAAAATCTTTTTAATTATTGTAACCAAAAAGGACGTTCATTGAAACCGAAGTCGAAGGGCATGGCCGCAGCAATTTTCTGAACGGGGTCTTGTTTTGTCAATAACCACTGGGCACAAGCCGGCTAAAGACGGCCCTGCTTTTTGGTATCATCTTGCTGTAGGCATTATTTCCATTTTGTTAGGAAAAGTAATCAAAGGAATAGACCAATTGGGGCTATCTAAAAACAGTAAACTGGCAATCAACATGTTCCAAGGGGCATTGCCGAGACCCAGTGTTAAAAATGTTATTATGTAACTCGAGCGAAGTTTTGGTGTCAGACTGAGGTAAACACTACCGTGAGGGCCCACTAAACCACAGCCAAGCAAGCAATGTGATATTACCAAAACCATGAAAACAATCCTTAGTCAATTTATTGATTCATTTGATTATTGATTTTTGTTGAAACAAGATCAAACTGATATTCGAACTTTACAGGTGAGTTTGCGAAACTAAAGTATGAAGGTTAGAACAGTAGGAGCAATATTGGGCTCGCTAAACGTTTGCTATGACCATACTGGCAGGTTTGTTAAACTACAGTATGACTGCTTTAAACGGAGGGCGGCAGTGTGATGCAGCCAAAGCAAGGACCTGCTGAATTGTGTGCAATGCCGATGGGTGTCACTTAATTGGATCTTGATACTTTTAAAAGGCTAAAACAACTGATCCTAGATGGACCATGTAACGTGTCCAGAAACTTTTGCTGGCATGACTGTACAATCTAATGCTAGTGTTAATTTCCTGCACGTAAATATAAAATAACGGGGCAGTTTGCCACACACCCCTGTGGATACGGATATTTTAAGAAAATTAGATGTTCAAAAACTTAGTAGAAAGTTTGCACTTACTAAGGCAAGAAAACACAAATTTTAGAACCTATTTACTTGTTTTACAACTCGTTAAATCAATTTTCTGTTTGCCTTTTTCGAGATTTGCTGTAGCTCTGTTTTGTTTGTTTTTAGTTATATAATAACCTAATCCATTAATCATATGCCTCTTTAATTCTGTCTGCAAGTATCTTCTCTCAGCACCTTTGCATACTTAGGAGGGGCCCATAACACCAGTGAGCCCAGGGCTCCCAAAGTCCCTAGTGCGGCCCTGCCCCCTTATTTTGTTGTATTTATGGTGGAGATATGAGGCTCCAGGGTTGGTATGATGAGTGGATCGAAAATTAAAAACAAATAACCTACAAACCATGCTACAGCCAATGTAGAAAAAAAATGCTGGTACAACCTTTTCTCTGGAGCACGTGATAGAAACGAGATGCAGGGTAACTGAAACTGTAATAGCAGTAGACAGCAGGCACTGAGCTCTTGACCTGAACTGCTATAACTTTCGATAACTCTGCCAAGGCCTAGCAGCCAGTACCTGCAACTTTCCAGCCATGCTAATGACAACAGAAAGCAAC